AGCCTCATCATTTCTTCTTAAGTGAAAAATAAAATCAGCTATACCAACAGCCTAAACAGACAACCAGACTTTCTGTTAAAACTGCCTGTGGGTACACAGAGACTAGCATACAGAATCAAATTTCTATCTCCACTTTCATTACAACTTCACAAACCTCAAAAATATGAGGTAGAAAAAAAATAGTCTGATATAGAAAAGATGCACATATGTTTCCAGTGTATATGGATACTGACTTTCTTTTTCATTCTATACTAAACTTATAGCTCTGCAATTACTTAGACCTGTTTCTACTGTCATTGATCTTTGTCAATTCTAAACTGACCTGGAAAGAGTAGGACAGCACGTGAGAAAAGGGTCGTGGGCAGGACATCACCTGCATAAAAGAGGCATATTCAGCTTACATATACAGGTGGGATCTCTCCAGTGAACTGAAGGAAAGGAGCATGTCTACTTTCAAAGTAGAAAAGTGACAAGGTTGGAACTGCAGGAAAGATTAAAACTTTCAGAAAGACAAAAATTCTCTCTAATCCCCATCACCCTATGTGCAGTTAAGATACTGTCCAGAAAGTGAAATTTTGCACAACAGAAAAATTAGAGAGATTTATATTTCAGGAGTAAATTATCATCTCTGCTCTCTGGGGGTGACAGGAATCTTCAATCCACCATCCCTCTCCCAAAAGTTTGTTATCAACAGTTTCATCAAGACACCATTTAGAAACCCTTTCTTTTCCAACAAAATTCTGTTTTAAGATTACTAAACTGCTATAGAACTCTGTCATGTTATAGTTAATTAACTGCCACTGGATTTTACCTTGCTGTTATTTAATGACAGAGGTTGCATATTTCTTACTATTTTTATAAATGTGAGGATCTGAAGTCAGGAGATCTTTCAAACAGTTACCATTTTATCTAACATCAGAATTGCTTTTTTTTTGTTAATTGAAAAAAAAAAAAGTTTTCAGACAATTTCAAGATGCTCAGAAAAGACAATGACATAGAATGAGTAGTTGCAATTCTATGTAAGACATCAAGTCTGTATTTGGTCTTAAAAAAAAAAAAAAAAGATTCATCTTGGGCCTGAACCCAGTCAGTGGAGTCACTCAGTTATACAGTTAACATGGTAGGTACAGGTTTCATTCAATGTCTTAAGTAGTTTGCATGGTTCTGTTTGCTATTATGAAAAGAACCATAAAGGTATACAAAAAAATTGTAATTATTTATCCCACACCCATTAAATGTCTCACAGGATTCCAGGCCACCTTCTCACATATGCAAGTAAAAACTGAAGAATAAAAACCAAGGACTGATTTTATCTCAAGGTTATGGAAACATCATTAACCATAAAACCATGGTGTCAAAAATTTATCTTGACATTAGAAAACGTCTCAGTGGAGTTAAAGCCTTATCATGTAATTAGCTGCAGATAATTCTGTTTAATACTGAGAATCCAAATTTAAAAACAGTCACAACCTTGATAAATGGCATGTTAAATAAACTGGAGCTTCCGAAGAGTGATCAGATAGCAAGAATGGAAAAAAAACAACTCCTGCTCAAAGAATGGTTGATACAAAAGCAAACTGTGTAAGTACAGGGCAACATTGTCAAAAAGGAAGGTACATTACCCTTCTGAAACACCTCCCCATCCAACATGGCTGATATTTTCCACAGGCCTTACGCAAACTAGAAATATACTGGGGTGAAATTCTGTTCCCTTGGAAAGAAATGGCAAAACTTTCTTTGATTTTTGATTGGAAGTTTCCACAAGTTTGCATTCAAGGAGACTCTCTGCCCATTAACCATCACAAGCAAGTGGAAAAAGCTATAATTAATTTTCACAAAGACAAGAGTAGTGTCCAGCAGAGAAGGAGGACTGTTTAAAAGAGCTTCTGAGAAGCTCTTTTGACCTAAATGAGGTTGGAGATTTTCCAAGAACTCTCTGGAATTTAGTCATCTCACTGCAGGAACGTTTTTCTCTTTTGTCTGGATGTCTGCTTATTTTCCTTCTTGAGGATCCAGCATCAAACGGAATAAAAAATGACCTCTGACTGGATCTTATTGTGGTATGCAATTAAAGAACTGATCCAAAAAGTCCAATGTTAGAATAAGCACCCACTGAACTTGAAAGGAATTTTGGAAGAGGTTGGGAAAACAAGATTACATCTTGAAGTCATGTATCTGCAGTATTTCTTTATTCTATGACCACACAGAGAATCATCACAGATGGTCTTTTTTTAGAGTTACACTATAGAGAAGAGACCACATAAGTCTTTTATCAGAGCCTTTACAGTTCCAAAGCCTTAAATTTTACCTGCTGGGAACAAGCATCCCTATTCAGTTTAAGGAAAATAAACAACCACAACAGTGCTTTTTGCACTGACGTTCAGCTTATCATTCTGTGGGAGTGGCAGAAAGTGCCTGGTGCTACCTCACTAGGGATGAGGGCATATTAAAATCATATTTTATTATAATGCCATGTCGTACAAGGAGCAGCTAAGGGAACTGGGGGTGTTTAGTCTAGAGGATGCTGAGAGGAGACCTCATCGCCCTCTACAGCTACCTGAAAGGAGGTTGCAGAGAGCTGGGGATGAGCCTCTTTAACCAAGTAATAACAGACAGAACAAGAGAGAATGGCCTCAAGTTGCACCAGGGAAGGTTTAGACTAGATATTGGGAAGTACTTCTTTACAGAATGGGTTGTTAGGTGTTGGAATGGGCTGCTCAGGGAGGTGGTGGAGTGGAGTCCCCATCCCTGGAGGTGTTTAAGAGTTGGGTTGACATAGCGCTGAGGGATATGGTGTAGTTGGGAACTGTCAGTGTTAGGTTAACATTTGGAATAGTTAGTCCAACTGTTTCCAACCTAGTTGATTTTGTGATTCTGCGATTCATAACTTACTCATCTGACAGTCAAACTGGGAAGGCTATAAACTGCCACATGGAAAATTAGAGTGACAATAGAGCTTTCAAAAAAGCATTGTGCTTGACAGAACTCTGAACAAGATGCTGATTTTACTCACATGTAAAGCATATGGGTATATTTAGTCAACAGTTCCTTTCTCCCAACCAACTCAGCTGTTCAGTCAAATTCCTCTGCCCCTTCTGTCAATTCATTTTATTAGTGATATGAAGTATCCATACCCATGATAGGTGTATGTCATTTGCTCTCCATTTTCCTAGGGTAGACTATCACACAGACTCAGCAAAACGAGCAAAAGAAGGAAATGTGACTGACTTTAATGGTCTAGGAGTCTCTGTATTTCCAGAAGGGAAAAAAAAAAAAAAAAAAAAAAAAAGGCAACAACAACTTAAAAACTTGGTACTATGTAGTACATTCAATGGGATAGGGACAAATTCACAGTCACATAAAGAAACACTGTTAAAAATATCTTTGTGATAGCAAAACTATAGTGGGAAGATGTTGTTGTTAACCAGGGCATTCCTAGCTCTCCATTTAACAAGATGTGGAGCTGGGGAGTCTTGACTTTTAGTCTGCCCTTGATGCCCACCTTGCATCACCTTGGTAAAATACATGGGAAGGAAAAGGAGATGGACATATGTGCAGATGCTTGTGCATGTGTGTACACAAAAAAAAAATTAAAAAGCTTCCTTATTTTCTTCACCAGTGCTCCAATATATTGAGCAACCATCACACTGCTCCTGTAAAGCCACCATGGCCATCCTCCACTTTGAGTTTATTGTTACATAGAAAGCAACAACATTTGTAAAGAGTTTCTTACAAGCTGTGACTCAGTTCAAACTGGTTAGGCAGTGATCATCATCTGATACTCAGCCTTATCTTCAGCTGTACAAATTCTCTAAGACAGATTCCACAATATGCATATTTCATGTGAAATGCATCTGACCAAGTTCAGGCCAAACCAGAGTGCCAATACAAGACAGTAAAAGTTTGAGTGGAGACTAAGTAGTGCATAAGGTTTTCATCTGTGAGCCCTTTTGACTGGGTGCATTTCAGCCTGCATGGTTTTTCAGGGAAAATGGCAACTTTCCATCATAGCAATCTAATCACCGATTTAAAAAAATCCAGGAAAAGAACACAGTTGATTATATTACTCCTACTCCTTCTGTCCGCAGCAAAACAGATTCCACAGTTGTGCTAAGAGATTATTTAAAAAAAAAGTTAAAAATTGCATATTGCATTTTTAATTTCTTTACAAGAGGCTCTTCCTTTTATTTATATCAGAAGAAAAACATCTCAGAGTTTGACTTCATAAGAAAATGCTTATTAAAACAACTAAAACATGCATGACAAGATAAATCTTATGGTAGAATTTATCAATCCTTTAGAAATCAAAAAAATTAAATCAAGTTAAAACTATGAGTATTGTCCATATGAAATACTTCTGCTAGCATTGTTCAAATTAAATTTCTGAAAAGCAATAAAATATGTACAGCAAAATGGAACAATAGTTAATAACACAACAAACTTTTTACACATGTTGCAAATTAAAGTACTTTACATGTAGCCTTTTATAATCCACATGGCCCCTGAGAAAGCAGTTTGTGGAATACAGTACTGTCAAGAATACCCATTAGCACATACTACTAAATGCCAAAACAAAATGGGAGTATATCTGCAAATATAAGATACTGCACTTTGCAGAAAAATTCTAGGCTGAAGAGTGATGATATATGCTTTTCATTACCGTGTGAAAATTATTAAGGTTGACTCAGTTGTTCTTGAATTTTTTTTGGTTTTTAATGCAACATTGTGATCTTTTTCCCCAAGAGCTTTAACATGATAATTTTAAAAAGGAAAAGAAAAATTATCCTCTGGCTGCTGCTTTAATTTTGAAATGTTACAATTATATAATAGCTATACTTCCACTTAAATACTAACTGAATAGAAAAAAATAAAGAGTTTGGTTTCACTTTGTCATATATCACATTCTGGATGCATCTACTGAACTCCCACTCAAAAATAAATCAAGAACATAAAGAAAGGATAATTTAAGAGTTGTCAAGCAATCACATTTTAACACTTACTTTTGTGAAGATCTGAAAAAAGTCAATTGCAGGTGGCAAGTGAGATGCATCCTGGATCTCTGTTTTCAAATACAGCTGCAAAGTCTGTGCAAGGTGCCTGAGGCCATCTTTCATTTCTTCACTTAACTGTTCAATATCTTAAGGGGAAAAAAAAATAAAAAAAAAAGGTATATCATGTTGTAAACAGAACCTTTCGCCAACATTTTGAAAATGTCAAATGGCAGCCATACAGTCTAGACATTTCCAGACCCAGAATTAATCTTGACAGAGGGCAATTTTGACAGAGAGTGCACATTTGTCATTTTTTGTGGCAGCTACCTATCAACACACAGAAAAGTTTATCAGGTTGCTGCCATCAAATCATATGAATACAATGGTGAGTTAAAGATCAAAAGCCAACAAATAAAGCACATGTGTAAGCAGATGTAAGACATTACATACAAAAATCAGGCATCTGGATTTGTAACATTAAATAAGTGCTTGAAAGTTTATGCAGCAGTACCTTCCTCCTTGTTGCAGTGCATATTTTTATACTGTGATATCCATAGCTGTGTCAGAAACACTTTGTGTCAGCAGATCAAAAGGAAATGTGTTTTAGACACAGGTATTTTTGTACACAGCACTGGTAAATGGAATGGATATGGAAGAATATTAAGCAAACACCACTTTATTAAATACTAAAACAACATTAATCACATTTTATGGATAGGAATGTTGAAGCAGAAAAAAAAAACATAGTGCCTCATTTTCTAATGAAGTGATCATGCATGCATCATGTCACTGATAACATGGAAAGTGAAACTCAGCTACCCTAGTAAGTTGAGTGCCTTTACCTGCTTCACATTTTTCGTGCTGGTTAGCACAAAATGAATAAGGCCTAAATGGAGAATGTGAAAATGAACAGATTCAAGCATCAGTCTATAACAACAGGCAAAGAGGATTATTACTCACTATGAATCAATTTCATCTCTGCATAATGATGAATTGTTATTTTATTTTAAACATCTATCCTTAATGAGAACGAAAATAACCTTTTACCAAGAAAGGTTCTTCTCTGTACTTTAGATGCAAGATTGTTGGCCTCCTGGAAGGACAATTCAAGATCTGTGTTCCTCTTTAAAGCTAACTCATAGTCACTGACTTAAGAAGGTGCAATTAAATCAAATACTACTGGGTTTGGTTAAACAGCTGTCTAGTGTGGACAATGTTTGGACTTCTGTGCTCTGTCTCACCCAGCATCCCTCTGCTTGAAGGCACTGGCTATTTAGTAGGTTGTAAATTGGCTATCGCAGAATTCAAATTTCACACAACACCACACAAGTGAGCTGCTTTTATAATCTATGAACTAATTCTGGCGGAGCACTAAATACTGGCTTACTAAAATGGCCAGTACCTATGGACAGCTATCAACCAGAAGTTTTCCAGTGGAACCAGCTACAATTTGCTTCTAGTCTGCTATGGGTTTCCTTATTTCCAAATTCTTTCGTTCTGTTTAGACTTCCTCTGGTGTCACCCTGCTTAACCGAATGATGAAACCCTACAAGTACACCATATTATGGCAAATGTGCCCCTCTTCATGCTACATAGAGAGTTCAAGAAGCATCTGTTATCTATTGTATATTTTGTTCATTTCAGCATAAAGAAACGCTTTCAAAGATCTGCTCTTATGCTAATGGTCAGTTGTTGCTGCTGAAATGCCATCTACAAGCCATGCCGGGGGTGACTCTGCAATGTACTGAGCAAGCAGTGACTTCAGAGGAATCTTAAAGGTGGTCTCTGTCCCTACTAGGGTTAGGAAAGGAGAGACATGCTCTCCCAGAGCAATCAGATCCAGCTCCTCATAAAGTTCAAACTAGTTAGTACTAGGAATGCTGAGACATGCCCCTCCATACTCGGCACAAAACCTGTCTAACAAAGTATTTGCCTTTTTATAGCTACCCACAGTTCTACCCACGTGCATCTTAACAGCGTGGACATCTTAGTGTGACATTGCAAGCCTGAATGAATGTACATGTTAGAAATCCAGACGTGTGCTCTTCGCAATGTAAGGAAATCTCTGGTATAGAAAAATATCATATCTATTAGGACTGTGTCTTCAAGAAAAGCAGCAAACTTTTAGATGACTGGAAAACTCAAGTTTAAAAATCTTTTTTATCATAAACATACATTTGCATTTCATAGATAATATTCCTTTGAAACTAAACATGATTTTTCCTTTAAATATAATTTTCAATACATGATGTCGTTCATCTTAAACTACCTGAAGTACATTGCAAAAATGTATTGTGACAAAGAGAGAAAGGCATGATTTGCTTCCCTATTAGCAAATAAAACACCTCTAGAATGGGTAACAAAAATCATGTAAGCAGCACAGTATAAACAGACACTGCAGTTTAGGACAAATGAGAATAAGAATACCAAATCCAAATGGAACTTCAAGGAGAAATGACAGACACAGGAGCAGAATGTAGTTCTCCACATTGTAATCTGTCCAGGACACCAGAGCTATTGATCCCAGCAATCAGCAAAGCTGATTTCTGAATGTTCATAACAGATAGCTACCCTGTAGAACCATGTAAGGAAGTAATTGTCTTATAAATGAGAACCAGCAAAAGTAACAATACACACAGACACCCCTCCTACTTAATCTGAGTTCCAGGTGACACAATGAATTTGAAGGAACTATGGAGCTGGGCACAGAGCTTTACAAAGGCCTAAATGCCTCTATGTTTGTGTTTTTTAAAGTATATGTATTACATACTTTATCAGATAATTATTTGATAAGTGTATAAAACTTTTTATGTATTTATTCAGTCTATATGTCACCCACACTGAAAATCACCCAACTGTGTAAAGTAACACCAAAAAGTGTAATGAAGACTGAGACAGCAGAGACAATAGGAAATTTTCAAATATTTTAGTTTTCCAGAAAAAAAATAACTGAAAGACAAAAGGAGTATCAATTACAGTTCTGTCATATTTCTGACTAGCGTTTCAACACTATCTTCTATTGTAACAGATGCTTCCTGAGAAGTTTTTTTTGCTTCAGAAGATCACAACCTGTATTTCTAGTTCATATGATTCCTTCCAATGAAATCTTTTCCCCTATATACTTTGGCTTCTAATGAAAACACTTTTCTGACTTCCCTATGGATTCTAACAAGTACTCAAGGAAAGTAAATCTTTATCAACACCATCTGTAAACTGTGAAGTAAATGGGAAAAAAATTATGAAATAACAGTAGCTTTTGAGGCTACAGAGGCAGTAAAAAGCATCACAGCTACTACAAATTGTAACACCATCCCAGAACGTTGGACTATTCTAACTGCAAAACCATAGACCGTGCAATCACTTGAGCAAGGAAGAAGTGAAAACATCAAAGGAAAGCACTAGCTAAAACCTTTACATAAGATTATGCAAGCATCATAAGCCATTTGTATTGTATTCTGTAAAGTATCGACTTTAATGTCTAGGAGTCCTGAACACCTTGAGCTTTGGAGTCAGGAAGATTACACGGGAATTGTTATTAAAGCTCTTAGAGTAAATACAGATGAAACAGTAGATATGGATTTGCCTCCTCCTAAACTAACTTGCTATGGATCAGCTGTTTCTGTATCAGTGAGAGGACAGTCATACCACCTGTACCACAAGCCATATCTGCATTTCCTTCAGAATGAGAATTTTAGTAGAAGCTTCTGGCCACTTTACAGATTTTTGTACCATTTATCGACTGCAGCTCAGGCTTATTCAATACCAAGGTTCTCTCCAGACTACTTATCACACTATTCTCCTTGGCTCCAGTCAAATTAAGGGAAGCTGAGATCATCATCTGAGGGTACTGAGAAACCTCAGTTTGTATGGAATTACCACTTATACAGTAATCTCTGCCTACACTAGAGAAGGTTGCTGTACAAGCAATCAGTATCTAATTTTTAAAGGGAAGCTCTTCCCTTTTCTCCATTCCTCATGTGCTACTGTTCAGCTATTGGTCCAATAGAGCACCACAATGAACTTTTTTCCCCTGGATCCCAATAGTGCCATGAAGCATAGAAGTCCATAGTCTTCATCATTTTAACTTTATTTGAAGCATCAGAAAATGCTGGTTTTAATTTACTCATCTAATTCCCCACAAACGTCCGTTACATGATTTGAGAATATTCATGGCTGAAAATCCTGATGTTTTAAGTTACTGAAATGCATTCCCTCTATCTCTTTAAACCTGTTGCCTTATTTTTGCCCTTGCACTTTCAAAGAAGGCAGAAGAATGTCAGGATGTACAGAAGTAAAATGTAATACTAGTTATTGTAATTTTTTATCTTTAGATTTTTTTATTTCTACCTATCTATATCAATAGATTAAGCTGGTTTATAGCCAAAGCTCCGAATAACACTAAAAAAAAACATTGAGGTAATCAAAATACTCACATTACTCTCTAGAAAGTCCCATTAATCAAGATGCAAGAATGAACTAAAGATGTGTTTTCTCCCTTAAGTCTTTAACCTTTAAGCTACCGCAAAAACTGGAAAAAATGTTTTTGTTTTCAACATTAGCTCTGCTGAGAGATTATAATAAGCATCCTTTCCTACCTAAGCAGTTGAAACTTATGAAAACATGAAATAACATCTGTGCAATTTTATTCTTTTTCCTCCATTGAATAGTCATGTAGAAGAAAGATGTACACATCTCCTTTGTATATTTTAGATTTTTTTCCTTTTTCTGGAAACTATTTTAAAGCTTTATGAAATAGCACATAAATATTAAAAAAGTAAAACCTCAATGTAAAAATACATGTACTTTTGTATATGCATATAAAAATACTGGCAACGTATGTAATAATGCAGACATCAGGTAAATTAAAAACTGAACAAGCAAGATGTACACCATTAACATGAGAAAAAATATTAAAGCTAAAAAAATCGGGTAGAAGTTTTGCTTGAACAAGCACACGTTTTGCCCTTGATCTCTGAAAAAATTGTTCTTCCCCACAGAGATTTTAGCAATTCTTGTCTTTGATTATGTTATTCTACAGAGCAGACCTTCAGAAGGCAAGCCGCAAGAAAATCAGATGGCCATTCTGTAAAGCAGAACTTGGAAGCATCTCCTGCAATACGGTTCGCAATTACTTACTTGACTGAAGATTGGAAAAAGAGTAGAGTCTCTCAGAAAGGCATACTGATTGTCTAAGCTGTAGAGAAAAACAGATAATTAGCACTTACATAGCATGCTTTATCTTCAAAACACTCTACAAGATTGATTATTCAATGTGATATGCCTGTAAGATAATTAGGTAAGGCTAACAGCATCAACATACATCTGGTCATTCCATACTTTCTGTAAACTATCATAAAAATACTAAATTCTTCATGGTGTTATAACACTTTCTGCCTTTTTTTTTTTTTAAATTCAGCAGCTTACCCTTAGTAATCTACTTTGGCACTTTACGCTATAAATGAAAGCAGTTTATGAGGTTAGCAGTCTCAGATTTCTTGTGACTATAATTAATGCACAGTATAGCTAGGTACATATTTGCCCTTTAAAAATAACCATGTACACATTCTTCCCAACAATGTATAAATTATTAAATCATATATTATCACCTCAGCCCACAACAAATGCACTTTTATCCAAGACAAACAACATCATGGCAGGGTCAGCAAGAAAACGGGCAAATCCTTTTTGATTTAGAACACCACATAGTCATAAGCTACTTAACAGAAAATTTAGTCCGCATAAATTAATCAAACTGTGGGAATGTCAAACACCCAGGACTTCCAAGACAGTTTAGAAAGCATGGCATTGTGCCTTATTAAAGGAAGGGTTAGATAACTGTTTCTGTCCTTACCGCTCATACAAATAAGGCTGAATGAGGTTCCCAGTGAAGTTAATGGAAAAGCACCAGTAACTTCAGTAGTATCAAAGAAAACAGTGTTCCTCTGCACTTTCCTGCCAGGCAGAAATAAGTTTAGAATACTGCCACATAGTCATAGGAAGAGAGTTGATAAACAGGTCCCTTGAGTTTAATTATGTCCATTTTAGTATCTCTTGATCCTTTCAGCATTTCTGCAAATTAATCAGTAATCTTGTAATGCAATATGTAGTCCAATTTTTCTCAGCAATCCCAGTCACTTCAGCTTTCTAGCTCTTAATTACATTAAAAATGTAGAGTGAAGAAGTACTTATCTGAATCTGCTACACTGAATAAATCTAAAATAATGTCACTTACTAGTTTAAAAACAATCCTGCCAGCAAGTCTGACAGAGTCTGGAGGAAAATTAGGCTTGATGCTCTTAAGACACCTGCATTCCTGCTTGTGGTCCAGCCAAGCTTCTTTCTATTAGGATTTTTCAAAAGGGAAGAGAAAGAAAAAACTGCATGTTATTTTACATAATGTACATCCTTTTATTTTACGTTTATATACATACATGCATATATATATATATATATATATATATATATAAAAAATATATATAAAATAGTTATTTATATATGCACACAAACAAACATGCCCAGCCTTGCCATGGGCTGGACCTGGGGATCCAGAACCCCAACAGCATCACAGCCATTGAGCCAGGCTGGAACAGCTGCAGAGCCTAAAGTCAGCTCCAAATGACAAGGAAGGGGACCTTCCTTGGGTACTGATGTCCACTGACTCTGGCAGCCTCCAACACAGACCACCTCAGATGCTGACAGTCAAAGAAACAGAAGCAAGCATGACTTACCAGTATAGTCTAAGACTGCAGCTATAATATGAGTGTTGTGGAAAGGGACAGGCTGGGCTATCCACTCAAACCAACCCAACATAACATTCCCTCCTCTAACATAATTAACTGCGTAAGTGATACTATGGACACTGGAGCTACAGCAGTGCAGGTTCAAGACACATCAGTATCACCATTATGCTCTGCCAGAATTTAACTTTACCTTTAAGAAAACCAAAGAGAAATATAAAGTTCCCAGTCCAGTTCCTTGCCCAGAGCTTACTTCAGTCTACTTCATGCTACTGTCTGACAACATAGTTTGTACTTTTTCAAACACTGTATCTGACACCTTTAATACACAAGAGGAACATATAAAGATAGAATGAAAACAGCATAGAAGCCTAGAAAGAACACCTTTATTTTTTGTCCCATGTTCCTGCCACACAAATAATTTTCATTGCCTTTATGCAACATGCTATAAATAGCATCATCAGCTTAGTTCAAATAGATATCACCATTCCATCTAGCCAAATTTTTATTATATAAATAAATGGTCTATCATTCTAATTTCATTGTGGCATAAAGAGATGGAGCCGCATACTTCACAAGGTTGGAGAGAACTAGAAGGGATGCTAAAATGTCCTCTACTATCTTAATTCCACCAAGATACACAACACTCTAAGCAAGAGTTCACTCAGAAAATCAAGACCACAGAGGCCTTGAGAGTCTATCCACTTCACCAAAATGCAGCTGCTCTAAAGCAACAATAACATTTTCCACACTGCAAAAACTGTCCCCAAAGATCCCTGAGCTGATGAGGCATTAATGCCCACAGCTGGGAGGACTGATGATATTTTCACAGTTCAGACCAGGAATGGTCACTGTAACCAAAACAGAAGATGGAACAAAAAATATTTTAGTTGCATGTACTATCTGAACCTGCAATTTTTGTTTCATATGCCATTTTTATTAGAGTAGCAGACAAAGACTAACACTTCCATAGCAGAGAAAAGACAGGATGACAAGGTGAGGAAAAGCTGCTATATATTGAAATGTCATTTTTTCTTTTTTTCCCCTTCCTTGTCCCCCCTAAATCAGTTGGAAGGGCAACAAGAATGGGTCTTCAGCATAATCATGTTGAAAGAGACAGTCACTTTCTGATCCTCCTTTTTTTTTTCCTTCTGTCTTTACAAGCTGAAAATTCTGTTTATAATTTACAAAAAATTCCAAACCCATCTCATAAACATTGTACATATTTACACATTTTATTTACATATTCACAGTATATGTTTGAAACTATCCAGCTGTTTCAAATTCTTTTTAAAAGCAAATTGATAAAACAGGGCACAACAAAAAAAATGCTACAACTCAGAATAACCAAGGGCTTCTGAAGGTGACATTTTCTCACAGATACACAGTAAGGGGGAAAAAAAAACCCAACCTAACTCAGAAAAACAGCTTCTGTTAAGTAACTGCCACACAGAAAATGATAAAATGTCTAATATAAAGAAATTATATGTTCAGCAATTAAAAAAAAAAAAGAGTATGGCAGTGATATGTGCAAAGTGTACATCACACCTGTAGATGGGGACATGCTAGTTACAAAGATTACAAAGGCTATCACTGTGTGATTTTTTCTCAAGCTGCATTTAAGTGTGGGAATTGTTTCAGGTAACTAGGTTTTAGGTTTTAGCACCAGCAGCATTTATACTATTGTATTTAGGGTTGTTTTCCCCTTTAGCTTATAATAAATAATAAATAGATTGGACTTTTTATTTCTTTCTGAACCAGTGGATTCCTGGTTTCAGCTGGGACACAGGTAATTTTCTTCCTAGTAGCTGGTAGGTGCTATGTTTCACATTTAGTGTGAGAATAATGTTAATAACACACTGATGTTTTAGTTAGAATAAGCACTATTTAGCAACAAGTTAAGGATTTTTCAGTTTCTCACGCTCTGCCAGTGGGCAGGTGTGCAAGAAGCTGTGAAGTACCATGGCCACGACAGCTGACCCAAATTAGCAAAGTGATATTCAATACAATAGGACATCACATTCAGTATATAAACTCAGGGAGGCGTGGCTCGCTGCTCAGGCATCGGGTGGTAAGCAACTGCATTGTGCATCACTTGTCTTTTCTTGGGTTTTATTTCTCTCCTTTTTATTATATTCCTTTTAATTACTATTATTATATTTTATTATTGTTGATATTATAATTTATTTTAGTTATTAAACCGTTCTTATCTCAACCTACAAGCTTTATATGTTTTTCGATTCCCCTCCACATCCCACTAGGAGGAGGGAGGAGTGAGTGAGCAGTTGTGTGGTGCTTAGTTGCTGGCTGAGATTAAACCATGACAGTGGGACACAGGCAATTTCATTTCCTTTACCCATAAGTCTACAAGGGGAAAAAATTACACCAAGAAGGCATTGATCCATATACAGTTAGTGTCACATGCTGTCTGACAAATAAAAATTAAGTATCTAGTGCTAAATAGAATTATTCTTGTCTGGAAGAAACAAGGTCATGCTTTTAAATGTCTAGACATCATTCTGTGTAATGCCAATATATTTATATTTTTATCCCACTTAAATTGTTATTTGGAGCAAACCTTTATCTGTCAAATTTTTTCCCTACATAAATGTTGCACAGAATTTTAAACATGCTAGAGGTGACATCAAAATGATTAATAGCTTACTCAACCAATAAAGCCCTAATGAGATGAAATATGCAGTAGCACATAGCATCATATGTGACGTTTCTTTGAGATGCATTCCCACGCGAGAAGAACAGTTCAAACACACAACTTCTGCAAAACAGCACTTTGGTCTAAACCAATGCCAGAAAGGAATTAGTCTGACTCCTCTGCAGAAGGAGCACTGGAACGGGGTCTGCCATTCACTTCCTCCCAGCTGGCCAGGGAGAAAGGGAAAAGCTCCAAATACATTAACTATAATGAAATTCAACAATATTTCTTCTCACTACCACTAGAAAAGGACACAAATTACATAACAATATGAAGTCATGAAAATTTGTGACCCAGAGAGACTTAGTTTTAAAATCGGTCTCTAACAGTACTTATTGGTGGGCTTATACTAAGTCCCACAGTTCTTCATGGGAGGTCTTCTTAAACCTGGCTTTCAGTCAAGGTTTTTATATCCCATATCCAGCATGAATATAAATGCTACAGTGCACAGGTACAGTCACCTGGTATGACCCTTCTTCCTCCCTGCCAGGGAAGATCTTCCAACTCTGCAACACATTTTTTTATCCCTTGTTAGATATGAACACTGTCAGAAGGAGGCAAATTAAAATGAGTAAACAGTGCAGGGCAGTACCCAGCACTCCTCCTCCACCCTTCACTACACATAGTAATCTAGAAAGAATAACCCTCCTTCTATCTTCTCCCAAAACACTGTCTCTCATTCAACCTAGATGTACCCCAAGTGCAATTCCTCAGGCTTCACCCAAGTGAAAAGGGTCAACGCCCACATGGATTAGGAGATAGTGCAGCAAATAGCTGTTTACTGGTGGCAGATCTGGAGTCTGCCCCCCAAACCAACACCACACAAACACCAATGCATCACTGAGTTTCACTGGACAACCGAGGCCCAGGATCACCTCCTACTGGCTCAGGGGATGGGCAAAGACCCCTCACATCTGCCTGCAGGGTCTGGCATATTTTTAGCTGAGATGCTTTGCCAATATGCATCCATTCTTGTATAGACATATGCTACCCCTGTGTCCCAAAATTCCCTAATCCTATGAAAGATCCTAAACCAATGCTTATAAAACAGAGGTTTCCCTTGTCTCCTGTGCAGAATCAAATAAACACTTTCTGCAGACTAACATGCTAATGAAAAGAAGTTAAAGACAAAAGCTCATTAAAAAAAAAAAAAGTGGGATATTTTTCCTCCAAGAGCTTTTGATTTGGTAAAAAGACATTATTTGTAATTTCCAAAGGATTGTTCAATTTGTTACCAAATGTCTTATTTTTTTTTAATCAAGCCATTTCAATCATGTTTGATAATGGCACATTCTGAATTCCACCTAAAAATCACTCTCCCATTTGTTGGGGATTATCATACATATCACTGCTCCCCAATCTATGAGATGTACCAGATAAATAAATATTGCCAGGGAAGATCACAGCAGTGATTATGAGGAGCTGCAGACATGGTAACTCTACATTTGGAGAGACCCCCAGCCAACACAACACTGATAGAAGGCAGTTCCAGGAAATCAGGCATCAATAAGTGGGAAAGGGGCTACAACAGAGAAGTGTCCAAGAGGGGCAAAAATCAATGAGGTCCAACTGAAAAAAACACATTTAAAAGCAAAAGGTCTACATACACTTGATCCTGAAATCAAAATTCATTTGAAAATGGTCAGCCCAAAAGATCTCTTGTGATAACTTCCAGGCCCACATTTCAAAAAAAAAAAAAAAAAAAAATTGGTACAACTCACTTGAAGTTTTCAATATTGACACTATGAAGCCTTCTACAAACTGTAAATTCTAATTCCCCTATAGTTTGTTCAGGACTTCTGGTTCTGTCCATATATATCTCCTTAAAGTATAACAGTTCTCCCAGTAAATTCCAAAAAGGGAAACATCTTTCAAAAGACTATTCCTTCTCCTATAGGTTAGCTCGAATAAAATTATCTTAACCACCTGATATTTCAAATCAAATTAAGATCTTTACAAGATATTTTAAAACGTACCAAAAATGGCTCATTTAGGTACATCCTAACACAGAAATCCCCTGCTGCATTTACTCTGAAGTTTCCTTCACAAAGTCCACCTTTACCCTAAACATAGTTCAGCTACCCCAATTAATCTTTTAACCAGATTTTTACATTAATTCTGATTTCATTTATTTTAACCAGAAAACTCCAGAAAACTTGACAGTTTTAAGCCTAAATGTTTTTAATTATAGGATTATTTAACACACATCAAAAAATTATCAACTCACTCTGCAACTAATTGTAAACTGTAAATCCAACTGCACAACTTGCATTTCAAAGTTATCTATATTTATAAAACTAAAATAGTCCTGTTCTGCCAATATTGACATTTTTAAATGTGCAAACCTCAATTTCATTCAATACCCTGCTGTTTATTTTGTTCAACAACTAGTTCAATTAGAAGTGGACATATTAATGAATTGCACTAAAGCTACAGAGGCTAAGTAGAGCACAAAGCCTTTGGTTTGGCCAAGGAGAGCTCTGCTAACAGCTGCTATAAAACCAGAGCTGCACAGTAGTTTAGCTAGCTTATCAAAAGAAATATGGATCACAGCACAGTGATCAAAAGCAAACAGATCTGACTGGTCTCTTTTATCTGTATCATCTGCCCTGAGTCATCAATCCCAATAAATGATCTGGTTTGACTAGAAAATACTATTTTTTCAGTTATTCTCAATTGCTATCTAACATCACAGGATATTATGTAATATTAATTCAATATTAATTTATTGATATTAACAGTTAAAGATATTATGTAACACAGCATATTAAGTGCAGATTACTTTTAGCAACGGTAGCCTGTCTCACTGAAATCAATACCTACAACTGTGGATGGTTTCAAGCACACGAACCCTACAGCTGGAAGCACAAAGCAAAGATACCCAGGATGGCTTCAGGCTATTCACAGTGAATCCTTGAAGCACATTCACATCGCTATTTTCCCCAAGGAGGAAGCCCCATTTCCTACCTCCATTGCTACTACACCAAAGTTGGAACAGGGTACTGCATTACACCTTGCAGATTTGCTTGTGCAAGTCAGTATCAGCAGAGTCTCATTTCACATTACAGACTTGCCGACAGACACTTTACCAATGACTCTCCTGGCAGATACTTGTTTTAAACTTAACTTGCAAATACTCTGGTCTTCTGTACTCTTCACAGTCATATTTTCCTTATGATCTCTCATAATAAATCTACCTGTGGCATTATTACTGATGCTACAGTAAGCACCTAATGTACATTGCACACATTTGCCATACAATAAATCAAAATGACATATTTTCCTCCTTTCCCTCTCCATATGTTTAATCACAAAAAGGAAGAGTTTCTGGCATGTTGAGAACACTGTAGATTATAGTAAAGCAGAATTGTTTATAGAAGCACATGACATATGAAAAGATTATTTGAAGGTCAAGATCTTAACTTAAAAAATTTAAATTCATATGCATTTAATAGAGTATCACTACTAGTCAGTTTTGACCATTGCTTGGTTTTCTTCATTTTTCTCTATTTAGGAAAAAAAAAAAAAAAAAAAAACACCAAAACAAACAAAAAAACCCACACCAAAACAAAACCAGAAATCACAATGCAAAGCTAAGAAGAATCATTTAAAACTTCAAGGGTTCTGTCAGGTGATGCTCATGACTCAAATCTCAGGTGGCTGGTCCTCTACCCTGGTGCCAGTCATTTACCCTTGCATGTCCAGACAGTACCAAGTCCTGCCAACTTCTGCCCACACGCTTAAGTGACAATTCAAGTCAAATATAAAAGCTAAAATTTTAGGTTTGAACACCCTAGGTTTGAACTGTTTCATAGGACAGAATCACAGGATAATTCAGGTTGTAAGGCATCTAGAGAGACCTCTAGTTACAAAGCAGGGTCAGCTCTGGGGTCAGACCCAGCTCAGCACTTTATCCAGTGGGGTCTTGAAACCCTCAAAGCATGAAGATTGACACAAACACCCTGGCCAGCCTGTTCCAACTCTTGGCTGTCCTCAGGGTGAAACAGCTTTTCCTCACATTTCGTGTAAGCCTTTCCTATACAATTTAAGCCTGTCGCCTCTTGTCCCCCTGCCATGCACCACAGTGAAGAGCCTGGCTTCATCTTCTTGAAAACCTCCTCAGAGATGCAGTTTTGCCCAAGGCTGTCTCTTCTCTCTGCACATTCTTGACCCTTATTTCATCTTTTAAAAATGGAATATATACCATGATAAAAATTACTCTTGAAATTTATATTGGTTTACCATAAAATTGACTTAGAGCCCTCAGTCTACAGCCAGCAAAGCTGAAGACTTAATCCTCCCCCTCTAAGCAAGCACAGCCAAACACCACAAGTTTCAGCTTAGTTTTGTCTGTTGCACTGATTATAATCTTATGTTTGTAACTATAAAAATACTCAGATGAAGAAAAGACAGCATGCTTACAAACTCTGTCCATAACTACAAATAAGAAATAGCAATGTGGAGGTATGACAATATGCAAAATGCATGGAAATGCATGGAAATAAATTATTCAAATGCCTGTTTTCTTCAACCTTTTATAGCTGTTATTTTTCATCTTACCTGACAAGATGTATCACAGTATTTAGCAACCTTGCACTGAGAGCATCTGTGCAGGTGTTCATTCCTGTTTAGAAAAATAAAATTGGTTATAAATACAACTAGAACTTTGTATTTACTCTTCTTACATAACTAATAATTTTCAAATATCCCAATGCAAGAAAAGTATCTGAAAAACAAGGGTAGTCTAAAATGCACTCTTACACAAGAAAAAATTGTGCATGGCTATGTTCAAAGCTATATTCACAATCCTTTACCCATGAGTGTCATCACCTCTGGGGCCACTTTGGATCAAAAGTAAAGATATCAAATATGCTTTTTTTTTCCCCATATAGCTATACCCCTGAGGAGATTGATTTTGTAGATATCATAATTACAGCTGTCAACACAGCTACTTCATCTATTTATTATCTATCTTGAGTCTTGTCTTAAGGAAGCATCACTATCTGTCCTAAGCAAGACCTTGCTATGAACCTGCAATCATGCCATCAAATTTTAACTTTGTAACAGAGTCTGAGGTTGAAATGTCAGCAGAAATTCATACTTCTGCTGGTGGACAGCAAGACCAAAATAAAGGGGGGGGGGGGGGGG